TAAAAAATCAATTATGTGCCAACGAGAATTAGCCCAGCAAAAAATTGTCTTGACTTGTAGAATAATTGTTTCAAGTTTGAATCTCTATGACACTATGATAGTGTATACGATAAACCAATCATGCTTGTAATTCAGACTATCGCTTGCATTCAGAAAACCAATCACCCAATGTGGTAACCATGTTGGTAGCAAATAAAATTAAAAATCTTTTGGAAAAGAAAATTTTGGAAGAGCAAAAGTCCAATGAAGTTGGGAAACAAACCAGTCAACTCAATCCTTGTCCTAGCCTTTATATCATGTCAGTGAAAGTACGTAAACTGGTGACTTTTTGAGTTGGCTTTGAATATATATTTTTTGGTCAGATTTGAGATGGCTTTGATTACTGGGGAAAATATGGTAGTAAAATATTGTAGTAAATTCATCCGCCTGGGGCACACGGGATCATCCCCCATGAAGTTAGACTCTGACATTGACTGCCTTGAAAAGTACAAAAGAAGGGGCACCAGCTTAAGAAATTGGCTTCATAGAATTTTTGTTTTCTCTATTTACCCCCTGCTATACCCGGTAAAAGTAAAACTATATAAGAAAAAAAAATTACTAAGCGTAGTATCGTATGATTCTTGATATTGTTTTTAAAGTTAAGGGAAGAATTGTCAACGGGGTCTAGCCTAGGGGTGTTCATGGTCCGATTTAGTCCAGTTTTCATCCCAAATCAGAATTAAAACTGGCATTATTCATTCAATCTGGTTTGGTTGGGTTTTGATGAAAAAATTATAATATCTGGTATGGTCCAATTTACCTTTTTTTATAAATATTTTTTAAAATAAAACCTAACAAAAAATTTATTTTTTGGGCTTAAAAATTCACAAATGACCCAATTTCATTCAAAGGAAGGTGATTGGGCCTAGAAAAGAGAGGTGATTTGGAGTTGGACTTGGGGAAAGTTAGTTATGGGCTTAGAAATTTAGCATTGGGCTTAAATATTTTATTAAAAAAATAAAAAAGTCGGTCCGATTTGACCCAGTCTGATTTTTCACTTCAAGAACCAAAATCGGACCAAACTAGTCCAGTTTGATTTTAGGTCAACTCGATCCGATTTTTAGTCAGCCCAATTTTTTGCCCCTTTTTTTTAAACCTTTAAAAAAAAAAAATTCAACTCAGTTTTCCGCTTTTCTGCTTTTCCGATTTTCCAATTTTCCAGTTTCAATGCCCACTCCTAATCTAGCCTAATGAAAAATGGCTTGAACTTGTAGACACGAGGTCTCAAGTTCAAATCCCTATGGCATCTTGATTGTGTCATGTGTGTGTGTGTATGTGAAAACCCTTCATCCCATGTAATTTAGATTATCGCTTGTACTAAAAAAAAGGTTTTAGGGAAGAATGTAAAGTGCCACTTACCTTTCAATTAGGTTGAATCCGTGAAGCAAATAATATATAGAAGTAATTTAGAAGTGCTTATTTTCTTATTACCAGTTGATTTAAT